AAAACAATATTTAATTGAAGTTCTATTCCAATTCCAAAACAAACTATTACTTCATAATAAGATAGTATGACAAAAAAATAGCATAAACTTATTACTGTTTCAAACCTCTAATGCATTCACTTCCAATATTGGCTAGTTTTATGAACCAGATTACCCTTGTTATTCAATTTTAATTTTAAAAATAATAATTTTAATACATTACGTCAATATTATTGTATTTTTTTCTTTCAATTCAAACAATTTAAAGGATATATGATACCTAATATAATAACTAGCCATCCACCTTTGACAATCTGAATCACAGAATATTATCTGAATGTATGCTAGCTGGAGATAAAGGGTGAGTTTCAGAGCTATAATTTAACTCTGCTTTTTAAGGTGCTTCTTACACTGAGATTATATGACCATTAAATTAAATAATTTTATAACCCAACCATTTAATTTCAATTCTCACCAATTCATCAATTATAATCCCTTTAAACAAACGAATGCAATTTACACGATCAAATACATTCCCAGCCACCATGCTTGAGCTAAATTACAACATCCACAGTCTATTATTCAGCAACATAAAACAGGGTTATACGGGTGGAGCGACACGCATTGAAGTAGTGGGTGGTGTCGTGGTAGACAAATGTCATACGAGATTTGTTTGGTACATCTTGTCTTTCATGAGTGCCCAATTAAAAGATTATCTAACTATATACCTCAATATTAAAAAAATATGATAAAACGTGAAATATTTAATGTTGAAATAGTCATACAATTCAGTAACAAAACATGTATTTTATTATTAATATTTACTAGTTATGGTAACATCTTATTTCTTCAACTAATATATATTTTATTATTAATAAAAAAACTAAAAATACAATTTGTAATAGGCTTTTTTCAATTCACCGAAATTTATTGAAAATAATAAAGCAATTTTCTAAATATCATGTAAATGATAGCTAAAAGAAGTGTTTTGTGATTAAGTTTCTAATATTTTCTATGTAAATATGTTTTTCCTATTATGCTAAATAGTTTCGTTTAGAAGATTAAGCTTATTTTAAATATTATTTTACTCTCATTCAGCGAGACATCTTTTAAAGATAAAACCGTGACGGATAAGACTTTAAAGCAAATAATACTTTATATATAATTCTAACAATGTCACTTGACAAATTTGATTGAAACATTGACACTCGAGACAATAATTTCGAATTGACAAGTTTCACCATCCATATTTAAAAATGTTACAAAATAAAATATGTAAAGTTATTGTTTTCGTCCCTAAAAAATATAGATGTTAAGGTGTTAACACTTGTTTTCCAAAAAACATTTCAGGTAAATATATACCTCGTTATTGTTCACACATTCATTCTTCTATCATTATCCTTCACTAACTTGTATATATAAACAATGATAATGTGTTGTCTAACATTGAATGATGTAGATGAAAAATAATGTTGTAAACAAACATCTTAACAAAAGTATTGTAATCCAATAATAGATATGATGTCTTAGAAGACATAATTGAAGGACATATAACCATGCACCAAATCCAAATTTAAAAGGAAATATAGGGAAAATTGCACAAATTCTAGAAATTGTTATAAATATATGATGACTATCTACTAAAATTGTGGAATAATCACTAGTACAGGAAGAGGAAACCACATCGGTCATTTTTGTCCATAGACAGCGGTTCCCGAACCGAGGCATATTCAGACGAGATAAAAAGTCTACTTTTTTTAATTTCAAGTGCATACTGAGGCATAAAATGGTAAAATTTTGCCTCGGTTATTGTCTTAACCGAAGCAATAGGTGTTTTTATTTTTATTTTTTTTTTATTTTTTGGCTAAATTGTTGATAAAAGAAAACCAAAAATTAGTGTTGGCCCAAAGACGAGATTGGTAGTTGTCATCTTCTATCTATTGCATAGCACGGTGGTTGCAGCAACACCCTCATCACTCACTATGAAGCAGTCCTTGAAGTTCCAGGGTGATAAAAACCACCACGAACACAGCACACAGCGACTCCGCCACCACCACCAACTCTGTTTCCGAGTTTTGCTTCTCACTCTCTTCAAACTTCACATCAGGCCCAATTCACATCACTACCACCGCCACCCCTTTTTTCTCTCTGCAATTCAAACCCCAATTCAGCCACCTCTCTCTCTGCAAAAACCTTTTCTCCGATACCCTACCACCCCCTTCTCCTCTCCCACCCACACCTCAAATTGTGTCCAACAATCTTCCTCGGGTTGGCAGAATCTGAAATTGGAAGATAACAGAGACAAATCAAACCCTAACAGTTTGGAAAACTCTAAGAACGATGCAAAGTTAAGGGAAGTGAGAGCGACAGAGCAATGGAAGCGGGAGCGACGGAGCGAGATCGCGAGAGCGAGGGAGCGACGGAGCGAGGGAGCGAGAGCGAGGGAGTGAGGGAGCGAGAGCGAGGGCGAGGGAGCGACAGAGCGAGGGCGAGGGAGCGAGGGACTGAGAGAGTGATAGAGCGAGGGACTGAGAGAGTGACGGAGCGAGGCACTGAGAGAGTGACGGAGCGAGAAAGCGGGGAGGGAGGGAGTCAGATCTGGAGGAAGAAGGAAAGGAGGGAGAAGGAAAGGAGGGAGAAGGAAAGGAGGGAGAAGGAAAGGAGGGAGAGCGTGGGAGCGAGGGAGGGAGAGCGAGGGAGTGAGTCAGATCTAGAGGAAGAAGGAAATGAAAGGTTACGTTTTTTTGGTTAAGATACGTGCACATATGACTCGGTTCTATGCTCGCCCGAAGCAATACATGTATATTGGTCTCGGTTCTACACCTGACCGAGGCATATAGTCTCCAGAAAAAAATTAAAAAAAATATAAAATGATTATATACCTCGGTTTCTGTTTAAACCGAGGCATAAACACTATTTCACACTGGTTCTGAACGAACCGAAGCCATAGGCTCTACACAGAATTCAAATTTCAGAGACTGTCAGGGGGCAGGTGGGCTTTTAGGCTTCAGTCGTTGCTTTAACCGAGGTAATATGACTTATATGCTTTGGTTGATTTTGAACCGAGACGTATAAGTTCGCTTAAACTACAAAAATGCCACTGCATTTTGATAGGCTTCGGTTTCACCTAAACCGAAGCCTATAACGCGAGTTTAAAACCAATTTTTTTACTAGTGAATCCATTAAAATTAACTTTCTGAGATTGAAACTAACAAAAAAATATGATCAATCTTCCATTTTGTTGAGGAACAAAACCTCAATTTAGACCTACCTCTAATGTAATTCATGTTATAATTTCAGAACTAAAAATAAATGTCAAATGCAAATGTGTTTGTATTACATATATCAAACACAGGACAAAGAGAAAGAGAGAAAGAAGAGAAATTCATTGAAAATGAAAGAATCTGATTACAGACAAAAAAGCTGAAACCTAATAATCTTACTGACGGAGAGGGATAACATATTGGGATATGGATACAATTTATTGTCTTTAATTATTTGATATGGTTATATTTATTAGTCCAACATTTTTGGTCAAAATGTGAAACATAATGTCGTATTTTAGTGAAAAATGTTAGTCAAAATTACTCACAACTTATTTTGACCGTGCACATTTTGTAATAATTCATAATATATTGTAATTATCAATTTCAATGTATTGTTTAATTTCACTTTCTGCTCTTTCAATAAAACGCTTACATACTATTTAACAAATCCAACATTTATAAATGAATAACTTAACTCAAATAACATTTATATTATTTGTTAAAACGTGAGTTATTTATTTATTTTTTATTTATTTATAGAGAATAAAAAGGACCACATAGAAGCTCACTTGTCGCAAAATTTCTTTGAAGGAACTAAGTACAAGCACCTATATTTTTCACATACCAAAATAGCCAACTTCGCTCTTATTTTATTTTATAACATTTTTTAGTTAAGAGGATAAAATTTATCAACCAAAATATAAAAAAAAAAAATGTGCTGTTTTTACAAGGTCAAATACACCTTATAAAACCATTAACGTTTTCGCTTTTGTTCCTGTAGGTCAGTCTTGGTTTCGATCTCGAGTTTCAATTAATAGTTAATTTTCGAAAGGATATATTGAGTCTATTAAAGCTAACTTTTTTTTTTATCTTGAATGTCTACCTGCTTATACTACTTTATGTTGGGCCTTTTACTGTTTGTGATTAAGCAAAGGGCCAATAATGGTCTAATTATATTTTGGGGTTGTATCTTATATCTAACCCTGTTTAAGCGTTAATTTTGGCTTTAGTCGTGGTATTAATTGTCGTGCGAAAGTGTTATGTTGACTTGGTTGCTCGTTGTAGAGGGACACATTGGAACGCAAGGAAGCATCTGTCGTGCTAAGGGGTCGAAAGAGTCTCGAGTCCTGATGTTACCATGCGATGAACCCTCATAGTATATTTATTCCCATACTCAAGTGAATATATAGAGTTTTAATTTGTGAATATTTACCATGATAAAATTTCAATTTTAACTGAAAAAATAAACACAAAAATAATTTTAAAAAATACATCTAAGGTTTCTCCATATAAGTTTTTCATTAACCTTGGTTGAATAAAGGAAGATAAGATGTATTAATTTATATAATTCAACTTTTATAAAAGTAAAAACCCTTATCTAAATTCTTAATAGAAAAAGGAGATAGGCAAATTCATTTTAATATATTAAAGAACTTTACTTGTTTTTATTATCTTTATATATATCTTCTTCGTGTAGAAAAAATTACCCTAGTAGCATTCAGTTCATTCATTCTATATCCTAAAAGTCATTATTTGATGTCATTCATCATACTTTCATCAAGACACGTAAACGCTTTCCACAGTTACGTCAAATATGTACAACTGTTCTTGTTAGACAAGAGACTGTAATCACAACATCATTATAAACATGTTACATGTTACATGTTACCTTTGTTGCATATATAAATTCAAATTCAGGAAACCAAGAACACTTGCTTTCTATAGGCTGGTCAACATCGATTCTTGGATTTTGAAATGGGTGGTACTTCTTCACCTTGTGCTTCGTGCAAGTTGTTGAGGCGCCGTTGCTCTCCGGATTGCATCTTTGCTCCTTATTTTCCATCCAACGATCTCTGCAAGTTTGCCATGGTGCACAAGGTCTTTGGCTGCAGCAATATCACCAAAATTCTAAAGGTCTGATCGGTTTAATAATATCTATTTCATTTTTATAATCAATCTAACAGAACTTCATTAAGAAATGATAAACTATTTCAACGGTTCAATGTAGTTCTTGGTTGTGTGTGTTTGATTAACTTGTTTGTATGTTTTTGCTTGCAGAATGTTCCCGTCGAGCAAAGAGGAGATGCAGTGAGGAGTTTAGTTTATGAAGCAAATGCACGAATTAGAAACCCTGTTTATGGTTGTGTTGGAATCATATCTAAGCTAGAAACTCAAGTTTTAGAGTTACAAATGCAGCTTGCAGTAGTTGAGGAAGAAATTCTCAGCATAAAAATGCAGCAAGAATTTATCTTCACCAATGGTGGTACATAACCATGACAAATGCTCTTTTCTCTCTTCTGTGACAATACTTATATCTAGGAACTTTTTTCTCATTTTATGTCATACCTTCGTTGTATCTGAAGAGACTCATGACATAAAGCCTTTATGGACTTAATATTCATTTTGCTCCTTTTTCACTCGTATTTTGGTCTTAATTCACTTTCCTCTTCATTATGTTGGTCAACCACACAGAATATGCCTTCTCGGGCTTGTCAGATATGTATAAAGGGATATGGAAAAGAAAAAGGACCGCGATATTCCAACAACGCATATTTAACACTGTTTTGACAACGCCACGTGTCGTTGTTTGATTGGTTTGTTTTAAAAATAATAAAAATAATTTTTTTTTAAAACCTACGAAACGGAAGTCCGTAACCCTTATTTTTACTGAGATTCCGAAAATAGCCCTTTCTCTGTTCCATTGGAAACGAAGGTGCGTTCTCTTGGAAGGTCGAAGGTCGCGTTTCGGGCGCTTCACTTGTTCTGTGTGCGTTCGTCTTGAAGCTTATCTTGCTGTCGTTGTCTCGCTTTCTCGCTCTATCATTTTACTTTGTGTTCATCCTCACTTATAATGACAAAAAGTAGTGATTGAAAAAATGAACGCAACATTATAATAAGAATTGAAAAGTACGAGACCATTTTTTCAGATAAAATTAATGGTACCTTATGGGAAGGAGTTGATAATTCTGAGTGGGGAGATGGGTGTTGGTCATTGATGTATAAACGCAAGAAGTGTGGAGTGACCATGAGTAGGGGGACGAAGTAGTGCAAGGGATGAGTCAGAGTGTTGCAAAAATGGTTGGAATCGTTACATACATCCTGGTAAACGATTACCCGAGAGAAAATTGGATTTTGTACATACAAGTCCAACACAGGTAGTCAGCCAGGTGAAACAGGGGTCACCATTGGAAAAAAAGTCTCAGTTTTAGGCAGTTCTGCACTGTCTGAGGTGGTCCAGGTGTTTTCAGTGGTGGGAGAGGGTGGTGGTGATGTGATGTGTGTCTAAGGAGTGTGGGGTGAACCCTCATCAGTTGGAGGAGCAACCTCTGCAAGGGATGAGTGAGGGTGTTGAAAAATGGGTCTGGTAATCGTTTACAGCATCCCTGTAAACGATTACCCGAGACAAAAAATGGATTTTGGACAGAAAGTCCAACACAGGTACTCAGTCAGGTGAACAGGGGTCACCATTGGAAAAAAAGGTGAGTTTTAGGACTTCTGCACCTGTCTGAGGCTGGTCAGGTGTTTCAGTGTGGGAGAGGGTGGTTGGTGATGTGATGTGAGTCCAAGGACTGTGGGGTGACCCCTCATCAGTTGGAGGAGCAAGCTCTGCAAGGATTTGTTGACCAAAAAACCATACAAGTGAATTTAAGGGTCATTTAATGGTGGGAGGTTGTATGTTGATGACCCCAAGAAAGTGGGGAAGAAGTCATTCTTACTGAGGGGACCAAGTTGGACAAGTGCAGAGCTAATCTGCAGAAAAAAAACATTGTCGTAATCGTTACAGTGGCCCTCGTAACGATTACACGAGAGAAATCACTTGTTTGTACAGAAAGTTGAACTGAAGTAGTCAGTTGTAGTGTCCTGGGTGATCATTGGCAAAAACTGTAATCTTAAAGCACAAGTCCACTTGTATTTTACTTGGTGTTGGTGTTGATGGTGGGTAGATGGTGGTAGGTGATGGAGGTGACCCCAAGAAGTGGGAAAGAAGCCATTCTTACTGAAGGGACCAAGTTGGACAAGTGCAGACCCAATCTGCAGAAAAAAACACTATAGTAATCGTTACAGTATCCTTGTAATCGATTACAGTGTCAAAAAAGGTGTAAACTTGATTTCTAAGGCATAATTTGAAAGGTCTTTGAGTATAGATTCCAACAAAAAACAAGAATCAACTATTTGAGTCGGTGGAGAAGTTATGAGCAAAAGAACAAGCAAGCGTGAGAGTTGGCAAAAATATATGAAACGCTAACTTGTAAAAGAATAAACTGTACCACTCAGATTCCAAAAATTACAAATTAGTAGTCATTTGAAGATTTTTGAGTCTAGTTCAATAAAAAAGGATCACTCATTTGAAGTCGGTGGGAAAAGTTATCAGTAAAATAGCACAAAGGTCAAAGTTGCAGCATGTTATATCACCCAAGTTGCTCATCTCATAAACATTGTTTTTTTCCTTCATCATGGGGTGCCAAAACATCAATTCCACCACTGAAACACCAGGACCAGCATAAGAAAGTGCAAAAGTGCTAAAAACTCACCTTTTGGCCAATGGTGACCCAGTTCACCTGACGAGTACCTGTGTTGGACTTCTGTACAAACTCCAGTTTTGTCTCGGGTAATCGTTTACAGTGTCCTTGTAATCGATTACAGTGTCAAAAAAGGTGTAATTGATTTAAGGCATAATTTTGAAGGTCTTGAGTATAGATTCCAACAAAACAAAATAAACTCATTGGAGTTCGGTGGAGAAATTATGAGCGAAAAAAGAAAAGACAAGGTCAGAGTTGGAAACAAATATATGAAACGCTAACTTGAAAGAATAAAATGTACCAACTCAGATGTCCAAAATACAAATTAGTAGTCATTGAAGATTTTTGAGTCTAGTTTCTAATAAAAAAAGAATCACTAATTGTGGAGGTCGGTGGGAAAAGTTATCAAAAATACGCAGCAAAGGTCAAAGTGAACAATGTTATCTCACCCCAAGTTGCTATCTCCTAAACATTGTGTTTTCCTCCATCATGGGGTGCCAAAACATCACTTCCCACCATCGACTGAAAACACCAGGACCAGATAAGAAAAGTGCAAAAGTGCTTAAAACTCACCTTTTTGGCCAATGGTGACCCCGGTTCACATGACTGAGTACTGTGTTGGACTTCTGTACAAATCCAGTTTTGTCTCGGGTAATCTGTTACCGGGATACTGTAAACGATACAGACCTTTTTCAACACCTCACTCATCCCTGGCAGAGGTTGTCCTCCAACTGATGAGGGGTCACCCACACTCCTTGGACACACATCACATCACCAACCACCCTCTCCCACCACTGAAACACCTGACCAGCCCTCAGCAGGTGCAGAACTGCCTAAAACTGAGCTTTTTTTCCATGGTGACCCCTGTTCACCTGGCTAATAAATGTGTTTGACTTTATGTACAAAATACCATTTTCTTGGGTAATCGTTTACCAGGATTCTTGTAAACGATTACCAGACCATTTTTCAACACTCTGACTCATCCTTGCACTACTTGTCCCCTACTCATCAAGGGTTCATCCACACTTCTTGCGTTTACATCAATGACCAACACCCATCTCCCCACTCAGAATTTGATCAACTCATTCCATTAATTACCATTAATTTTATGAAAATGGTCTCGTACTTTCAAATTCTTTTACATGTTGCGTTCATTTTCAATCACCTTTTGTCATTATAAGTGAGATTAACACAAAGTAAAAATGATTAGAGAGAGAGAGCGAGACAACGACAGCGAAGATGAAGCTTCGAAGACGAACGACAGAGCGAGAGAGCGAGACACAATATGGAGGGTGATGGTGAACGAACGAACTTCTTTCCCACCCGGAAACCGCCCAAACCCAATTCTTTAAATTT